CACCGCGAACGGTGCCGTACGGCGGCACCAGAAGCGTGACAAGTTCAGCTGTTACTTGCGACGGCTCATTGTCGGTGCTGGAGGCAGAGGACGCCGTGGATCTGCTTCCGTATCTAATGGTATCTTGCTATGGTAGGGCAGAAGTTAAGCTGGGGTCGCTGAGTTTCCCCCGCTGGAGTGTTCACATAGCCCTGTTCAAACAGAAACCTGAGGAGAGTGAAAAGATGGTGGTGCTGGCTTTTAACCGGGAGCTCTTCTCCGAACAAACCGGCTTGTGTACCCTTGTGAACGGCACCTGTCTAATGAAGCTGCAGCGGGAGGAGAGGGACGACTGGAACCATGGTCTGGTTTCACAGGTGGCGTTTTTTGTGGTTCATACCGAATACCTCTGGCCGCCTCACTCAGAAGCCAGTGGCAGTACAGGAGGGGCTGGTGCCCCCGCTTTACAAATTCCGACCTTTTGGGATTATCAGCTTCCTAGGTCAATAGTCTAATGATTGTTAAAGATTACTTCTATTTACCAATAGAGCAAGAGTGATAACCAAAATTATAATTGTACAAGTGTATTTCAGTTGAGCTGTCCAAACTGAAAGAAATGCTGATTTTAAATTTTTCTTAAAAAGCTTAAACTTCTGATACAAGAGCAGAAAGATGATCATTGTAACTCCTTGCATATGAAGAAATCTTTCTCCTGAGAGGAGCTGTCTTGATTGTGGTACTGTGGTTCATTCAAAGCTAGAATTAAAGCTGACTCTGAAGACAGCCGTTCAGGAACATTTGGGGGCTTCCTACTTGGCACTGTTGTGCATTGTATCTTCTAGGGTTTAGGTGGTTGTCTCCCAGTGTCAGTCTTGCCAAAGGCTCAGTCCAGCTTTTAATGCTGTGTCCAGCAGCAGTCTGGGTCCTGGCCTAGCAAGTGATGCCAGAGTGTTGATTCTGCTTTTCTCTGAACAGCACTGTTCTCTCACTAATTCACAGACAGTTGTGTTGTCTGCATAAACCATTTCATGCAACTGAGCTCCTATGTATGAAAAACCAAATTGGTTTCAATGGCTTCAGGTAGTGGAGTTGAGACTTAAAGCCTATGATCTACTTTTTTCATGTAGGCTTTGTTTCTATTCTAATTGGGTAAGCATATTCCAAGGTGTAGCCGAGTTCATAAGTCGGCTGGTCACTGTTTAGCTCATACCTCTGTCATTGTTGACAATGTTGTGCTTTGTAAGTAGATAGAGGAAATACTGCCCTCCCGTAGGTGTACGTACAGCCCCTAGCACAGGGAAATCGCAGTGCTTTACTCTGTGACTGCTCCAGCATGTGGCACCACGTCGTTGTTCTGTGTAAGTACCTCATCTTTCAGTAGAGTGCCAGCTCTCATCTAGTTGCGAGTTCCTTTAAACAGGGAGAGAGAGGATCAGGATTACGTACTGTGAAATCTGTGTGTGCTTTTGATTCAGATTTCAAAATCTGTTATGCCTGAGGAGGTGCAACTCTGAATTTTGCCTGCTTTCAGAGTTTCCTGGAAATTTCTAATCTGACCTCAGATGGTGGCTTTGCACATCCCACCCGGTCCTGACTGCTCCAGAAATTCTTGCATAGTTCATGACACTCATGCTTCTTTTAGTTGTTTGTAAAAGGAGGTTACCTGTTATTGAGGGAGGGCAGGGAAAGGTGTGATTATATAGGATAAAATTAGGAAGTCAGCAGGAGCCAGAGGAAAACGTAAGAGCTCAGCTGATTAGTTGTGATAAAGTTTAAGAGGATATGTAGGCAGCTTGCTCTTCTTCTATTTTGATAAGTCAAGAACTATGCTGTGGTTATAAACCCTAAATATGATATGAGTTAAAAATTTCCTGTGATGGAAATAGCAACGTGCATGTGGAGCATTAGCTATTTATCTGCATTAGTTTAATGCTGTAGGAAAAGGGGCAGATTGGAAAGTACGGCTAATTTTAAAGAGGCTGGTTTTTGTGTGAGCTGGGATCTAGAGGCAGCCTCCATGAGTATGGGAGTTCAGAGTAAACTATGGACAGACCTGTACTTGGTACTGGTAAGATGTTGGTGGCAAGTATGTTTAGTGCATGGCGGACTTCTTGCTCATCTCCAACGTGAGATGGCCCACGTCTTTGTGGGTTTTACAGAGCTATGTGACAGCATGTGCATAAATCCTTTGTTGCAACTTTGCAGCTGAGTGATCAGCCAAGAGTGAAGTAATTGAGATGAAGCTGGGACAGAGTTGCAAGGTGTTGCTGAACCTGTTATTTGGAAGATGAAGCACCCTAATGCACGCTCTCGCTCGGGTGTGTCCTTTGGTTGATGTAACATCAGTCATCTGTTGCCTCATTGAGGTGACTCAGTGGCACTAATGGGTCCTTCTGGAAAGAAGTACTAGAGCGTTAGTTGAAACAGAACAGTTGCACCCAGCAACATTGCAGGGAAAGAAATGAACATGATGGTCTGTTTTGGGTGACAGATATTTCTTCCTGCACCCAGAGAGGCCTTGGAATATCCGAGGTGCTTCAGATGCTGAGCTGAGGCACTAAATGTATCTTAGAAATGCAGCGTGGAGTTCAAGACACAGTTTCAAGTCTTAGCAAAGCTTGGCCACGGGATTTTATGGTGTCTTGTACTGCTCGTTTCCAACGCCTGTTCTGAACCAAATGTGCTAGGAGTTTCAGCTTTAAAGGATTTCGTCTGAGACTTTTCTCAAATGGTCTCTTTTTTTGCTTATTTCAATCTTAAATGGTTTAAAGCTACAGATGTGCAAAGGAAGCAGTGTGTCACCCCCTCATCTAACATCTAATTAAAACGCTTTTTAAAAGAGGTGTTATTTCTGTTTTGTCCAATGCCTGCTTCTGAGTGCCTGTTCCTTCAAGAAACTAAAAAATAGTTTTATTTGAAGGGGCTGTATATATGGATTATCAGCCTTGTGAGGTGTGCCCTAGATAACGTTGTCTGTATGTGGAAAACATTCTCACACTGTTCTAAGCAATTATATACTTCCCACAGTAGAAATGCTCTTTTCTGGGGTTAGTATTGGGATGAATGTTTTTGAAAGTAGTTCTGTGAACTTAAGGTAGTAGTCGAAAATGAATTCCTGTTTTGGGGAAGCAGTGCTGCTCAGTTTTTCCTTCTTAATAAAGAGGATGTTATAATCAACTGTAGTATGGTGTGCATTTATTTCATTCAATATGTTCTTAGAAAGGATACCATTTGAGCATCTATTCAAATTATGTGGTTTTACCCCAATTCCTTACTTTCCTTTCGTATCTCCTGACAAGTTTTATAAGTTCTGTCACTTTCCTTTCTCCTTCTAGTGCATGACAGTTCACACATAGGGAAGAAAAAACTAACTGCTTACATACAAATAGCAAACAAATGAGAAATAAAAATACTTTTTTTTTTTTTTGTCTGGAAGTTAGTTAGTTGCTCATCAGGTGTGACCCGTCAAACCCTTCCATTGAAGTAGTATTTTGAGGATACCTTTTTCTTAAAAATGTTCCGTTGAATGCTTTGAACTTGTTCATCACTTTCACGCCGGTTGGGCAATATGATGGTAGTCTTCAGGTACAAGGTTCCTATGAGATTTTTTGGAAAATCAGCAGCTGAGTAGAAAAGAGAGCCGCTAATGGATGAAAAGAGTGTAATATAAATGCAGCCCCTGCTAGGTGCTGCAGAGCCTACGTTATTGGAGGCTGATGCAAATGCCACAGGAAGAACTTTAATCGGAGTTCATATGTTATTTGTGATTATCCTTACAGTACAGGTTCATGGGTAAACTGAACTTTGCTAGTGCTCCAGGTTACTGAACTTAGACTGTCAGAAAAATCTTTTTGTTACAGAGTACTCTTGAGTTGTGTGGATTAAGAAAAGAAATGAATTTCCATAAGCTGTTTTTAAAGAAATATTGTTGAACGATTTTAAAAAATGCTGATATTTGCCTTTTTTGTTTGTTTTTTTCCTCTGATTTAGAAAACTCTGTGTGATGTCATTCTTATGGTTCAAGAAAGAAAGATTCCAGCTCACCGTGTTGTGCTTGCGTCAGCCAGTCATTTTTTTAACTTGATGTTTACTAGTAAGTCTTTTCAAAATTGATTGATTATAAGCTTTGGTGATGATATCCTGTTAGACTTGTGGCTGACAAGCTGTTTATTTTATGAAAGTGATTCAGGGATAAGTCTAAGTGAAGATTTCCTCATTTTGTGTCCATCTTCCATTCATCTCTGTTCACTCTTCCCCTCATTTTCCCTTTAATGCTCTTTTGATCACGTCAAGTGTTACTTCATACGTAAGCTCTCTTATTAATTGGGGCCCATACACTGTATTAGAGTTGTTTTTCTCTTCCCTTAACCTGAAAATTGGGAATTTTTACTCCCATGACAGAATTTGTCTGCCCCATTGCTTCCTACCATTAGGTACTTCCACATATAAAATGAGCTTTCAGAAGTGTAAATGTTCTTGCATTTATGCTATCTTTACAAATTCAGTTATGTAGTATCTATCTTACTTTTGTATGCCTTACCCATGAATTGTAAATTTACTGTGCTATAAAAACACACGTTAAAGCTGAGTAGAAGTAAAATAATGGTGCCTTCCAATGGTCACCTTGTAACCGTCTGTGGGCAAACCTTACAGTGCTGTGTTTTGATGTGGGGAAGCTCCAAGCTATCTCTCTTGTTGTCAGCTTGAATATGGAAATAGCTTTTGACAGGGCAGCATGCATTTCCTCGTTTTGGTGATGCTAACTTGGCAGTCTGCACTGCAGTCAACAGCATCTATGATCTTTTCTGTTTAATACAGTTTATCATAATTTACATAATACAAGCATGTACATACACCAGGTTTTTTGTTTGTCCCACTGCCTCCTTTCTTTGTTAACTTGCATTAGTAATGCTGGGTAAATAGCAATCAACTGTGTGCAGTTTTTCGCAGGTTCCCACTTTGTGTAATCACTTTATTTTCTACTGTTTGCAAAATGTACAATAACTAGAGTGGCTTATTGATGTAATTTGTCTTTTAATCTATTTGCAGCAAATATGCTTGAATCAAAGTCCTTTGAAGTGGAGCTAAAAGATGCAGAACCTGACATTATTGAACAGCTCGTGGAGTTTGCTTATACTGCAAGGTAGTTTTGTTATTTAAAGCTGACAGTTTTTCTAGGAAGCCTGCCAATTGTAAATGATAAAATCTTAAAATAATGTTTCTATGATTCATCAGTTTTGTTACCATTACAATTCTTTACTTTTTTTAAAGCCTGATGTGACTAGACCACCTATCTTTCTTCCCTTTTCCTTTCTATTTAATCAGTAGGAAGCCCTACAGACCAAAGAGAGCGGTAGTTGTCTCCACAAAGCAATTCAAAGCACTTAAAGCTTTTGACTTCAGTGTTGGAATCAAATGGTATTTCCCATTGTTCTGAAATTGGCGCCCTTATTGATATCAGCAGAGTTTCCCTTTATGGCCTTGGTAGCTATCGCACAGAACCATTTCCAGGAGTTCATACCTTCATCTCAGGATAGGCAGGGTGGATAACTGTTCTGTGAACAGCATTTCCCTTCTATCTCATGTTGTCCATGTGTTTGGTGGTTGTTGTTTTGGGGTTTTTTTTTGTTTTTTGTTTTTTTTAAACAGAGCTTGTGCAGATGACTAGGATTGTAAACAGCACTACTTAATCAGCTCTCGTGACTGATGGATGGCAGGCCTTTCATCTTTGTATTAATGGGATTAACTCTCCTTAGGAAGGCTTTCTCCTTTCTTTGAGAGGAATCATCTTCTATATTTCACCAGTGGTGACAGACAGTCAGTGTCAGTACCCCAGCCATATGGTTGCCTCCCCTGGTGCCCAGGTCCTTGTCTGTGGGACCTGTGCCTTCTCTTGAAGCATTGCCAAACTAGTGGTTCTGCTTGTGCGCTCTGGGAAAATCAGCCAGAGCAGTCTTGACAATGAGTTTAGATAGATTTTGTTGGTGCCTGCTTGGGAGTAGGAGACTGTCAGGAAAAAAGGTTCTGTTCATTTTCTGTTTTGTGAAGGTGGCTAATCACACAAGTCAAAGCAATAGTATGGGGCTGCAGAGGGCCTGTATTAAAGTCTTATTCTTCAGAGTCCAGGACTGGTTACTCTTTGTCCTTCTTCAGTAAAGCAGAACAATGAAAGCAGTTTGGAAAATTCATAAAGGGAGGTTGTGTCTTCAGACTGTGTGTGAAAGATTCTTGGGTAAATAGCAGGGAAATAACTTTGCCATTTATGTGAAATGGTGCAAGTTGCTTTTTTTACTACAACGAAGTAGGTAATATTAGTGATGCTAATTTTACACCTTCTGTTTTGCAGAATCTCAGTTAACAGCAACAATGTCCAGTCTTTACTAGATGCAGCAAACCAATATCAGATTGAACCTGTGAAAAAAATGTGTGTGGACTTTTTAAAAGAACAAGTTGATGCTTCCAATTGTCTTGGTAAGAGAAATACAGACTTAAATTTACTGTTTATTTTTCAACTTTGCTGTTCCTGAAAAATAGATAGTATTGTCTACAAGACAGTAATATTTGGCTAAATCCAGGCATGTAAAACTAAGTTTGCTCTAAATCTGAACTTTTGTCCCTTGCCATATACAAAACAATCTGGCAGTTGTCTTGCCAGTATCAGGGTCCACTGACTGTGCTAGATCTCATCCCAGCTTGGCAGCACCCTGGAGCTTCTTGTTTGTTAGAGAACCTCAACTGTTTAGTAAGGTGGAGCTTTGAGTTATTGTTACTGTACCTGGAGACAGAGTTTGACAGAGTTGTAATTTCTACAAAACTACTGTATCTTCTAGAAGTATGAACAGGATAAGTTTAGGTTACTTTTGGTTTTCGTTGCTCTTCATTTTGACTGAAATCCATGAATGTCATCTGGGCAGGTTTGGTATTTATTATATTCTGGAGCCCTAATGTGAACTTTGTGTTACAGAAAAGGTAAACAACAAGTAGAACTAAATGCATTTTCATGCTTAAGATTTGATGGACTTTATTTAAACAGAGATTAAAGAGAAACTTGTTTATAGGGTTTCTTACTGACATTGTCATGTAATTCTCCTAGTAACATCTCAGTCATGTTATAGATGTTTATAATATCAATAGAAATGTTTTGCAGAGTATCTGAATTACAATGATTCAACTGATGCTTTGGTCCAGTACAGCTGTGGCTCTGAAACAACTGCTGGAAGAAAGACATTACCTTCTAAGGAAAATGCCACTTATGCTTGCTTTGAGGCATATTCCCTCTTCTGTGGTTTTTGTTAATGAAAAAATTAATTATGGTCTCTAATACTTGCATACTTTATTGCTAATTTGTAGCAAAAAGGGAGATAGAGATTAAATCAATTTTTCCTCAAGGCATTGTTTACAAGTTGAAATGTGTTCTGTGCAGACTCGTAGGCAAGTCCACAGTTAATTTTTAAAAAAGTGTATTTGAAAGAAACCATGACTTATTTTGAATCTCTGGAAATTTTGTCAGGAGGTCATACACTTGGATTTTATCCTTCTAGTTTGCATTTTACTACTTAGAGCAGCACAGGCTAGTTGCAGCTCATGGGTTGATGAGTTGCTTCTGCCCCACTTGCCTTCTCTTCCATAGAAGGAGGATGAAGACAGTAGCATGACGAGCAAAAGTTGCTGCTGAAAAGCTCTGTGCTTATCTGGTTTCTAATGGGAAGGTTGGAAGCAGCGCTTCTCGGTAGCAGTTGCTATTTATATCTTTATGCCTACCTTCAATCCTTGCAGCAGCATCAACTTGACTTTATGTTGGTCTGCAGCTGACTCTGCTACCTGTATAGAAAAGTCTCAGATCACTGTGACTCTTGAGGGAAATTGGGCTTGGTTGGTGACTGCTGCTGCGTGAGCAGGTCAGGGGAGGTCATAAAACCTGGATCCAGTTTCTCAAGCTGTTCTGGTTAGACTTTGTTATTGTGATATGGCTCAGACCTGGTTAATATACTGTTACCTGCTTCATAACGGGGAAAGAAGCAGTGCTGGAGTGATCGTTAATACAGCAAGTGCTGCAGGTCTGACTCTCCAATTAGTTCGGTAGGGACAAAGATCAGCAGCTTGTGCTTATCTTAACTCATCTGCAACTCAAGATAAACTATGACAGCATGTATTTTAAAGAAAAAAGTGCAGTAATAAATATTAAACTGAGGTTGCAAGTATCACTGAAATCAAGTAATTTTATTCTATTTTTAATGTATTAAAGATGATTGTAATTTAAGTTTGGAAGGGTTTTATTTCTTAATTTTTCTTTCATAGGTATAAGTGTGTTAGCAGAATGCCTAGACTGTCCGGAACTGAAAGCCACTGCAGATGACTTTATTCATCAGCATTTCACTGAAGTTTACAAGACAGATGAGTTTCTTCAGCTTGATGTTAAGCGTGTGACACACCTCTTGAACCAAGATACGTTGACCGTGAGGGCAGAAGACCAGGTGAGATCCCTGTTTCATACCAGCTAAGAGCATTGAACTTCACTGTCTTTTTTTCCTAATCAAGAACTGGTTTAAAGTATCTCACTTCTGATGTTCCTACAGTATATGATGCACATAGTGCTTGCTAAACTGTAGAATAAAAGGTGCATCCTGGCTTGGTCAAAACCAAATATTAATGAATATCCACATTTCAAGTGTGGTTATTATATGTGTTGTTTCAGCAAACTAGGCAGAAAGAAGTCGTAAAGGGAGTCAGCAAAATAGTTTCCTTTATCAAGATAGCTATAGGGCTTCTGATTCCATAGTATGTGAGCTGAATTAAGTTTGGTGTATTATAGCAGTTCCTCCTAGATTGGGGCTCGTGTGCTACTGGTGAAAGTGAACTACTTCAAAGTGGTAAGTAAAATGCACCTTAGTGGCTGCACGTCTCCAACTGAGCGTGGTCTCAGCCCATTTCAGAGAGGGGTTGCTTCTGATGGAAGCATATGCATGCACAAGTTACGCTTGGGAAGCTGAGGGATTTGGAAGCAAGATGAACAAAACACTGAAAGCTAGATGCATTGACAGTGATGGATTAATGGAAGGCCATTGTTTAGGGAGTGGACACAAAAAAGCTTAAGTGGCTGAAAGGAGCCTAGAGTTTCACTCAATTAAAAGTTGTAACCTGTGGTAGAAACGAGATTCACAGCTGTGCCATTTGGAAAGCTTGATTCGTCTTATAGCACAGCCCTGAATGCTTGTTTGCCAGCTTGTGCTTCCTGCTGCAGGAAAACAGGAAGAGTATAGGTGTCTGCACCGCAACCCAAAGAGGTGATTGCAGGATGGTTGTAGCTGCTGGGTACTTCTTATAGATTCTCAGTCAAATCTGTTGAAAACAAACTGAAATCATGCCTTTCTAGCTGTGCTGTTCTGATGGTTGAACTAGGTAATTTAAGCTTGTTTGGGTATGTTGTCATGAGTTGGCTCATACCTTTGAAGTGCAACAGAGAGATCTCATAGCCAAGATGGTATGTGTATCCGCTAAGATAGAAATGGATGTTTTCCTGACTGTGAAGTTCAGCTTTCACAGAATTAATGTGTTTTCTTCAGTGTATCTGTTGCAGTAAAAAGCTTCAATGAAAATAAGAATTACTAAGAGTGGGGGATAATCTCAGGTGATTGAATATGATAGTTGGCTGGTTACAAGTATAAATATGAGTTCTGTCACAGTTCAGCATTCTTGCCACGTGCTGGGAAGAGTTCAGGTCACAGGATAACATTTTCAAAGCTGGAAGTGTTGTTTGGCTTGCAGCCAAAATGACACTTTGGAATTTACGTTCTTGAAGTTCTGTTGGTAAGGTAGGATGGCATGCTTTAACTTGGCAGCAGTGGTAGCAATTTTGTGTAGGCAGCATGGCATCATTAAAATTCCTTTAGAAAAGTGGCAGCGTGCAGTATGAAACTGCTGAAGTTTGCCAGTGATACTATAGGAATCTTATTTCTCAGGAGTGCTCTAGAAAGTTGACATTATACTCGTAAGTTTTGTATGGGCGTAAAGCATATTTACATTTAGCAAAAGGAAGGTAGCTTTAGTTACTATCTGTTCTGTTTGTCCTGTATGCAAGTAATGTTTCTGTTGATGAAGGAATACAATGTTCCTGTCCCAGTAATTCTGTTGAATTTCCTTAGCTGATGGAATTAAGCCTTAAATATTTTTTATATTTCTTTACTCTCCTTTGCTCCCTGGTCATTTTGCAGAATTATAGTTGAGGTGGTTTAGCAGTCCTTCTGAATAACTCTAATTCTGCTATTAAATGTCTGTTATATCTCAGTCACTCACCGCTGATGACTGATGAGTTTCAGCTACAGGAGTAGGTATTGACTGTGCTATCACTTGTAATGAAGTTAGTGCTGACTCTGAAGTGGCAGCATGGTAGATAAGCTTGCTATGTCTGAGAGCAGCATGGAAGTAGCTTAGTACATAGGTAATACTGGATTTTTGTTTCATTCCTTCCTGACCCAGAGGACAATCATAAATAGAGCAGATTCCTTGGTTACCTTCCCTGTTCTGTCCTCTCCGCTCCCTTAGAAAACCCATTATCTTTTCCTGTAAAGAGGGGACAGAGAGGAGGTTCTCCGAGTAGTAGATTTACAGTAGTCTGCACCTAATAACTTTTATTTAAATGGTCCCCTAAGACACAACAATAGCAATATATTGGGATCCCCAACACTATGATTTGGTAACAGAAGCAGTTTGTCAGCTCAGGAGACTGTATTAAGTAGAAGCATTTCAACGTTTCTGGTGAAGTATTACCTGTGTTACGGCATGAAACTCAAAGCATATCAGACTTAACCTGGTATAGAGGTTACCCACTTAAATGAATTATGGATTCATGCCTCCTGTTTGGAGGAGAGAAAAAAGTTAAATAGCAGTAGTAGTGGGTTTTGTTTGGTTTTTGTAAGTTTGTAGATGGGTTTTATTCTATGGTTGTGCATTTGTTTTACTCCATGTCCGAGCATTGTCTTTTTTGGGGTGTGGTTGGTTGTCTTGGTGGTGGTTGTTTTTTGGTTTGTTTCTTTCTTTTCTTTTCTTTTTTTGGAAGATGGTGATGGATCCCCACCTACTGAAATGTGAGTATAAGTTAACCTCCAACAGGCGGAAGAATCAATTTGGAGCATTAGGGTTTAGTTATTTGTCTTACTGTGTGGTGATGTACCTTATCCTTTTCTTTCCTTCTCTTTTGTTTAAGGTTTATGATGCAGCAGTCAGATGGCTGAAGTATGATGAGCCAAATCGCCAGCCGTACATGGTTGATATTCTTGCTAAAGTCCGATTTCCTCTTATATCAAAGAACTTCTTAAGTAAAACAGTTCAGGCTGAACCACTTATTCAGGATAACCCAGAATGCCTTAAAATGGTGATCAGTAAGTTGACCTCTAGCTGAAATTTTTACTGTTCTGTATAACTAAAAAAAATGCTGTGGAATTTTTGAAAATTGTTTGCTTTAAAATGCTCTAACAACACTTTCACATTAAATTAATCTGACTGTGTTCCCTCTAGGATGCTGTTGAAGTTGGATTAGCAGATTATCATGTAAATAAAACCCAGCTTATGTAACAGAGTGTGACTTTCATTTCTTTTCTCCTAGTAAATGACATGAACTCCATGACAAGTAATGGAATGGAGATATTGTCGATAAGTCGTTAGGGTAATTGGAAGTGTTAGTGTGCCTCTGGGACAGGCTAGTAACTAGTATTGTTCATGTCTGTATGTGAATTAATAAAAAATATTTTATGTCAAAAATTTGAGTATTATAAAGCTTCCCTAAGCAAGTTAGAATGTTAAGCATATGTTGCGCTATTTTTATCTCTAACATATACTGACCGTTGAGCCTACAGACAGTTGCATTCTGAAGGTGCAAATGAGATAGGGAGCAAGGTTCCTTTTTGTTTTTAGACACTATTTGTGAAATTTTGTCATGTAAGAAAGAAAAACCTAGATGTTGATAAATCTTCTGGAAAGAAATTTTTTCATTTCAGTAGCAGTTAACTAGTTGGCTTCATTTTAGTGTAGACCTAAAAAATGGTATGCAACTGTCTTCCTTCAGTCTCAATGAGCAAGATTCAAATTAACCTATATGTTGGTAAGTATTTGCTGACCATCAACATCTCAGTCATACTTCTTGTGTGACATGGAGTTGGGTGCATTGTTTAAGAAACAAGGATCTTCGTTTGTCTGGTTTTAGTGACTTGTAAGGTCACTAATATTTTTGCATTCTTCGGAATGTTTCTTAGGAGAATGCTTATTTTATACCAATTGGAACTAATATTTTGCATTGTCAAGCCAGGAACAAAAGTGAGGGGTTTTCATGAGGTACAATGTGCTAGAGATGCCTGCCTTATTAATCAGAAATTGGGGAGTGAGGAGGTGGGCATGGTTGACTCCTCATTGCATTCAAGTCCCTTCTTTTACTGTTAGTGTTGTCCTCTTTAGGCTCCCAGTTCTGCCATTCCTTTTCTTTGGGTTTGTTTCCTTTTGCCTCTTTCAATGTGACAAACTTAGTTGCCTGTTAATAGTGGCTAAATGAGCTGATGGGTCAGTTGGTATATAACATGAGTCTGTATCCATGTCCTGTTTTCACATGGAGCAGGCAATTTGAAATAGGGTGTAAATCTGGATGTATACTTCCATCCTCGTGTGCTGCTGTGCATTCTTCCCTTTTAAATCAAAGCTGTATAGGTGTAATGTAGAAACTTGGTTTCCCCTTTCTCCCTCCCTTCTCCCACCATCCCTGCCTCTGAAACATCCCTTTTCATGTCTGAGCTACACTGGATCTGCAACAGTTGTCTTCCTTCCAGGTGGGATGCGATACCATCTGCTTTCCCCAGAAGACAGAGAAGAGTTAGTGGAAGGTACACGGCCAAGAAGAAAAAAACATGATTATCGCATTGCTTTGTTTGGAGGCTCACAGCCCCAGTCCTGCAGATATTTTAATCCAAAGGTAATCGTTACCTCAGAATGCATTAAGATTCACTGTTTGTAATCTTATGTGCTTTATTCTCTGATGATATTAACTAAGACATAATCATCTACAAATTGGTATTAGGAAGGATGTATTCCCTGCCTCTTGGGTATACTCTTGGAAGAGTATGGTTAATTAGGTATTTTCAAATCTGTGTACCTAGATGTAGTACTTCATTTTGAATAGAATGATTATGTGTTTGTTTATTGGTAATATTAGTTATGGAGTTCTGATAAATCTATTTGAGTTGAGATTTGATTGGTATGTGCATCCCACAGCTGGAAATAAATAAAAGGTCATGGAAACATCAAGCAGTTGGTTAGGAATTTGTGAAAGTCTGTATGCATGTGCATGCACGTATGCGTTCAAAGAATAACTCAGAGCAATTTCTTCTTAGCACAAGTTAAATTATTGGCTTGTATGTTAGTGTAGAACCCAGTTTTAGAGTGCAGGGTGGTTTTTCAGTGCAGTTATTATAAATATGCAACCACTTCTAAATCCCAATGGTTCACAATTTTGTTTATTCTTTGAGTATATAAGGAGAAGAATTGGGAGCCACATATTATGCAAATGAAAAAGAATGAGTTTCTACAACAAACTTAGAGATAGCCAATTTAGAGCAAGCAAGCAAGTTTTGCCTGAAACTTGTTTCCTGAATAAAATCAAGTCACAGGAATGGTGTATATTTCACCTATGCAGACTAGATGGTCCAGAAATACCAGCTGCATGAAGAAGGATTATCTGTACTATGTTTTACCAGGCAAGCACATGCAGTTACACAGAAGAAAGTTGCCACATAAGCATCAGGGCTTTCTAAGTTATGAGATAACATACATGTAATATTGTGTTGCAGAAATTCTGGTTGTTCTAACTTGGCATATTAAATGCTTGTTATAATTTCAAACAGTTTTATGTGTTATCTGTGTGAACTTTTATAGTCAATGTGAGCCCTGTCAAATCTAATTCAGAATGGATGAGCCCTTGGGATGTGTTTTGAAATCATCATTCACATTCCCTTATGTAAGATAAAATTGAAGCCACTTTCTTCGAGCACCACTGAAGTCTGGGGAGAAAAAAAACTACCAGCTTTGCTGACTTAGAGACATTTAATGTGTATCTTTGGGAATTCCAAATTCCTAAGTAACGACCACCTTTTTCCTTCATACACGTGCTCAAGTAAGATAAGCAGTACTCTGACTGGGGGCGAGGAGGTGAGGGGCACAGAACAGACCATTCCTTCCTTTCCAAGGTCTGAGTTGGGGAAGCCTTTGATCAGGGCATTCATCCTTTTCAAGCTGTTACTTGGTTTTGGCATTTCAACAAATTGTAATTCACCCAGTAGGCTCTGACCTTTCTTTTATTAGAAGGAAATCAGATCAAAGTTTCTTTCTCCTAATCTCCAGTTACTTATGTTGGAACAAAGTTAATTTTAGGCAGGATGGAAACTAGCTTTGAGACTTACTGTCCCAGTCATCAATTGGCAATGGTATTATCAGCATTGCATGCATGCGGTCTCTTTACCAACCTAACTGATAGGTTAAATTCCGTAAGTGCCTAATGTCAATGGTGATCAGAACACAAAAGATGGGGGTTGATGCTTCATCACTCTTTATAAACTAATATAACCCCCCTCTAGTTGTCAGCATATATTTTCTGAAAATTTAATCTTGTTTTAAAAATAATAATTTCAGTGCATGCTGAGTGGGAGTGACAGGCAAAGACTTACAACTAAAAGGAAAACTATGTATGTAGTTAGGTGATCTTCAGTCAGACCTAAACTATAATAATACAAAGAAATCTTTTGTGGACAAAAAGTCTACCTACACATAAAACATAGGATAAAATAGCTTTTTTTTTTTTAGACTATTTGTCCAGGCATAACACCAACAAAAGAATTGAGTTTGGAAGAAGCTTTGCATAACTGCCTCTTGCTCAAGCTTTATGACCTTGCATGTGGATTAATGGGGGGGAGGGGGGCAAGGCAGGGAAGGAAAAGGAAAAAAGTGGGTAATTGGAGGTCTTGATTCTAACAAGCACGTCTTCCTTGAATGTTTTCCTAGTGCTTGTATGCTTTCTTGAGTATTCTTAGCTAGCCTGTCATGTCTTGTTGAATAGCTTTTACTTGATTAGTTTCCAACTCTAAGCTATTTAAAGGTCCTTTTCTGGATGTTTTGCTTGAGTATCTGAGTTTGATCTTTAATTAACTGTGACAGTAGCTGCTTAAATGCAACAAAGCAAGGATCCAGAACCCCTGTTGAATTAGCATCATGTGCATGCAAAATAATTGCGGGATGTAAGGCTCAAATGCTGCAAAGACTGTATCATGTTCAACTCACTTTAGTCTCATCAAAAGATGATGGGAGTGTCACAGAGCAGAGAATTAAGCTTGCGTATGTACTTTTACAAGGTTAGGACCTTGGGAAAGAATTGAAATTTTTTTTGTTGTCTGTTGAACTGATTGAATAGTGACCTAGTCCTTCAGTTTTGATTTTAATTAAATTCAATAATTGAATTAAATTCTTATGTCAGTTAAAGAAACAGTTCAAAACAAAGGTTATGTCTTTCCTGAAAATATTTTCTCAGTTATCAGTGATACACATTTCAATAATTCTAACAGTATAAACTAGTTCAAAAAATTTTAACTTTCACTGATTGCTTTGCATGCGAAATTAGTCTCTATTGTTGATCTTAATTTCCTTGTTGTCAAAAAGGGTTCTTTAAATAAGAATGGATTGGATACTGTGTGTTATTTGAGACTGTTAGCAGTATTACTTTAAGTATATTTGTTGTCTTTGTTGCACTGTAACTGATATTTCTATTGATGCATGTACTTCATCAAGAGAGCAAAATGATGCAACAGGATAGATGCAGACGGGCAAAAAACTTGTGGAGCAATCTGGCACTATTTTGAGTAGAGATGTTTGTTTTCAGGATACTACTAGAAGTCCTTGATGTCCTATTAATGGTGGTGGGAAGCATTTTCCACAGAATATTTTTTAAAAGCTGCTGCTTCCCCCCCAAGTTGGGAATAAAATGGTTCTTGTTTTATGAATTCTTTATAAAAATTTATACATGACTTTATGGGATTTTGAGGCAGCAATATGCTTATTCTTTTGAAATTGCTGTCTGTAGTGACCAGAAATGGCTGGAAGTTTTAACTTTTTAACAGTGCAGAATCCAGCAATGGCAAGGAAAAAGTAACAGATGCCTGGCAATGCTATTTCTTGATGATTAAGGGAACCAGCATTAGCTTTTATGAGGAGATAGAGCTGTAGTTAATAAGGTATTAGTGGGGAGGTTGTCCATGTTATTGGTTTCCCTGACAAGCTTGGAAGAGGAGGTATCAACTGAAAATGAGGGGAAAGTCTTAAAAGGAGGTACTTCTTCATATGACCCATAATTACACTTGCCATTCCTGTCACAGGGTCTTGTGGCTGCTAGCAGTTCAGATAGTTTTTAATAAGTAATTAAATAAATTCATGAAAGAGAAAAAAGCCTTTCAAAAACTATTAAATACAAAGGTACAGCTTCTGCCTCTGGTGTCCTGCATCACAATTTCTTGAAAACAAAGATCAGCAGGGAAAGTGTCAGCATATACCTATCTTGGTCTTTCTTTTCCTACTCAGCCCCCGAGAAATGCAGTTTACCACTGCCTAGGGCTGTGTAGATCTTCACTGTGGCATAAAGCAACTCTTCTGCTAATTCTTACGTGTGTAAAATGCATAAATTGAAATCAGTTCTATGTGGTGCAGACTACCACTGAAGAGCATTACAAGAGAATGACCTGAAT